CAGCATGGCGCAAACCAACTCTCTCTAGTGTTTGGGCGGCGTTGGCAAAGTCGATAGGGACTTGGCTTGGCAACTGGAAGCTCACCAGTTCAAGTCCCGGCAAGACCAAGGTGTCCCTGAGCAAGGCACCGTTCCCTACACTGCTCCCCGGGCGCCGTTCAAAATGGCAGCCCACTGCTCCTAACACTAGGATGGGTCAAATGCAGGGAAACCGTTTCCCCACGAGGGATTAATAAAAGTATTTATTTCCGGATGCATTAGTTAGGTGGTAAGTATAGCTGTAAAATATTCTCATGCTTGAGAGTCAAATGCTAAATATTTCTCAAATTTTGTTGAAAGATAAATGAAATGAAAGTACTCAAGTACTGTTAATGTACCTTAACTGTAAAGAAAGACGATAAGTATGTTCTCATGTTTCAGTTTATATAAAAAAACTGTAAGAAAATATTCATGGTTTTATGGCAAAAATATGCTGCCACCATTTTGTATTCAAAGAAATGTATTCAATTGTGATTTGTACATTTTCTTCTGTTTATGTTATTTTGTGGCCTATTTATTCTGTCAGTTGGAAGAGTTACTAAAAGAGAACTGTCTCTGTAGGTGGCGCTTTTTACTTATTTTTCTATTCAGCTGTCACTGTTTCATTATTTCAATATTCAAAGATGTATTGCCTTAACATATACACCTACGGTGTGATTATGTAAGGTATGCAAAACTTAGATCGCTTGTTCCTCAATACTGTGATTTACAAGACATAAAAAAATACTTATAAAAAAACAACAGTACAAATACAATTATACAAGCTCATCGTAACTATAGACTTCTGGGAAGTACAATTCCAGACATGTGTCAGTGGATGTGGTAAAGCCTATATACAGTGCGTCACTTCCTGTGTCAAAGTATTTTTTTCCCAAGAAAGAGCTGCCACACACCAGGTGTTAGTGCAGGAAATGCAAAGAAGCAAAAACAGGTTGAATCACTGATGAGTGAAAACAAGTAGTTCATCTGTGATTCTACCGTATGGCCACTGGTTGTTTTTAGTCATATGCTTGATTAAAGAAAATAAAAAATGCCTGCTGAATGTCATATAAATTGCTTCACTAGTTGTTTTGACTTAAATAAAGACAAACATGAGCCGGTGTGAGGAAGACATGGGTGAAGCCACAAAGGATGAAAAACACAAGCCAGAGAAACGCCTGCACACTGTCTCACTCATTATCCTGACGGCCTTTCATAGCACTCTGAGTTTCATATCATCTGAGCACGTGCAGCCTGAAATAAGAGGTGTAAACATGCATGGCACAGGGGCAAAATGATCCATAATCTCTGTTGATAGGTCGGTTGACAGATTACTTCTGGTCGTCCCTAAATCAAGGTTGAAGCAGCGAGGAGAAAGAGCCTTTGCTGCTGCAGCTCCAAAATTATGGAACGATAACCCCTCCAGGTTAGACTTGCTCCAACTCTGCCTGTTTTTAAATCTCGTTTAAAAACCCACTTCTTTTCCCTGGCATTTACAGGCCAAGTATGACACGTTTTTATCTTACTAGTGTTTTGTATTGTTTTTAAGTCATGGAGAGTTTTTCAGTCTGTGGCTTCTGATCTGGTTTCATTGTCTCCTGTTTTACATTTGTTTCATGTCCTGTCCTGTTTTTAAGTATTTATGCTATGTTTTTATACAATTGATGATGTACAGCACTTTATTCAACTCTGTTGTTTTTGAATGTGCTATAGAAATAAAGGGGATTGGATTAATATGCTAGCTTTTTTGCACTTTAGCTTTATTTGGGCCATCCTCCTAAAACAGGAGTTAGCAACCTTTACCATCAAACATCCATTTTTCCCCCTTTGCCACAAATTAAGGTTTGTCTGGAGCCGCAAATCATATTTGATAATACAGCTTATAAAGACAATCAAGAACATTTTTGAAAGTCTCTGTAGCATAAGAATTAGCAAATGCTGGCTACTTTTTCTGAAAACATCTTTCAAGATTACTATTCATCAATCGTAAAAGTAAGCCAGCATTGTTGGCAGTAAAAGCAAGGGAATCTTTACATATAGAATTAAACTAAAGAAGAAAGAGAACAATTCTTTGACTTTTCACTACTGTGTCCCTTGCACCATTGTCTATTTCTCCTTGCACTATTTTTTACTTTTGAATGCCCATTCTCTGCTATATGTATTGTGCATATACAAGCAGATGCATGTAGACCCAAAAAAAAAAAAGAAGATCTGCCACCAAAGCCACGCTCGGGGGCGAGAAGCAACATTCTATATCCTGTGTGACAGGAAACTAACTCTCAGTCTAGTGTGGGTCCTCTACAACGTGTGAACAAGACATCTGGATGCTGCACGACAACAACAAATCAGGGTACTGTTCTTCTACGTCATGGCCCGCCCCTTTTTGGTGATAACATTCATGTGACTGGTGGTTACTAAAGATTCTTAGGTATTCGCTAATCACATCAAAAGTGGGCTTTTTGAAATATCTACAACCAGCCCAAATAGCATGGTCAGTCAGACGATAACATAATGTCACTGGGAACACATGATCAGCGTTGATATATAGTTAAATTAAAATCCATAGTGTCAGGAATCAGGCTAACAATTAACTGGGATTTCTTTGGCTTGTCAGTGGTTTATAAATTTCAATGACGCTTCTACAGTTACCACTGTTACCATATATATACTGTATATATATGTGTTTTGTTTTTTTGCGCTGCGACCTCCATTTTGTCCAGCCCTCTCCTGGAGTGGTTAGTGAAAGAGATTATTTACGTACTGTAGGAGGATTAAAAAAGTCTTTAGGACAATCCTACTCATTGCACCTTTTGCATTACATAGAGATATCTAATTTTAGTAAGCTTTACCTGCTAGCACTGCAAATAGTATTGTGTTGCAGAAAGTGTTACTTTACCTGTTGGTTTGTGGTTTTTTGAAGCCTTAAATTTGGCATATAAACACCTTACATTTGGTATTAGGAACCAGAAGACCATATTTAGGCAAACGGGTGGAGCTGGGGAGAGATTAAAGACTGCTACACCTCCTAATCGTTAGCATATGCTGCTTTATCGTCTTTCTACCAAATTGGGCAAAACAAGACTTTAAGCTAGCAATTGAGATATCTTTTGGAGATTGATATTTTTAGACCCGGAGGCTACGTTCACCTCTTACCTGTACACCATCCCTGGTCCTTTGCACGTGGACTCTGTATGTTGAACTGAACTCCATTGCTATAGGAGCTCCGAGCCGCAGAAGCAAACAGTTCCCACAGCCGGACAGAGACACATCCGGAGGTCCCAGCACTGCTGCGGAGACATGAACCTCACTTACTGTCAGTCTACTGCTGGGAGATTCATGGCAGGTCAAATAATATTAAGTAAAAATACTGAAGCAAAGATGTCCTGCATTCACATGTTGGACACTACATTTACAATAAATAGAAAGCTAATGTGCACTTCATATCTTTATCTGGACCCATCAGGTTATCATACTGTATGTCTACCTTGCAGTCAGAACAACTCAGGACTTTTTGTTTGATTGTGTGTAAATTTAAATCTTCAGTATGAATGTGAGTGTGTCTCACTGTCTGTCAGAGGAAGGAACACCCCCGTCACGGTCCAGTTGGACGTCTGGCTGGGTGTGAAGGCCTGGACTCGGGCTTGGTATTGTTCATAGCTGTCCTTGAAGGCTCGGGTTAGGTTACACTTCTGTCCGGCCGTCAGCTGTGCGCACGCTGCCAGCAGTCTCCACTGGCTCTTCCTCCAGAGGGAGAGAAAGATAGTGCAGCAGATAATAGATTATTTATATATATATATTATATTCACAAAGTATATTAGATTTAATAGAATATATGGAATGTCTTTTAAACATGGAAATAATATTATAGTTGGTGTTTGACAAACTCTGTGGTAAAATACTGTTTCACTTAGCTTGAAATGGCGGCCATCTTGGAAAATGGTCGCCATTTTTACAACTCAAGTGGCGAACGGGCTTCTTTTAAATGAGTGGCCCCAGAGGGGGAAGCTTGTTATAGCTATCTGCAGCACGAAGATGGGGCCGATAATGTATAATCGTAAAACATTACTTTCAGCACAGTGTAATGAGTAATGAGTATTATACTTAGCACAGATAACACACTGCATGAGTCATCCTGATACATGGAACTCACACTTGTTATGTTATTGCTACAAGTACACAGTTACTGAAAAAGGAAAGTGCTTAGTCAAACAGTTAGGAAGGTTCAAAAGAAACAAAAACGAAACTTTTATTCAATAGTAGAATGAAACTTAGTACAACTTCAATACTTAGGTTCCTGAGGGAGATATTGTACTTTATACTCCACTACATTGTTCAAAACCTTTCTGTTTCAATCTTTGCGATAAATTCAGCTGAAAGAGATCAGCTGGAGAAAGCATTGTCACAAAGCTGAGAACAGAAACTCAAGAAAGGTTTACTTTAAAAAATACAAAGGACAGCAACAAAGCTACCAACATGATTAGATTGAATATGATGCATTACTGTAGATTCAACTACCCATCTGTATATAAGGGCAAATGAGCACAACCTTAAACATCTGCAGTGGTTGAAGGCAACATACAGTCGAGGAAATAATTATTTGATCCCTTGCCGATTTTGTAAGTTTACCAAGAAATGAACAGTCTATAATTGTAATGGTAGGTTTATTTGACTAATGAGAGACAACATATCAAAAAGAATATCCAGAAATGTAGATCATATAAGAGATATACATTAATTTGCATTTAATTGTGTGAAGTAAGTATTTGATCCCCTAGCAACAAACAAGAATTCTGGCTCCCACAGACCGGTTACCTAAGTCCTCTTCCTTTGAGAAAGTACTCCTAATATCAACTTTGTTACCTGTATAAAAGACACCTGTCCACAGAATCAATCAATCAGATTCCAACCTCTACACCATGGGCCAGACTAAAGAGCTCTCTAAGGACCTCAGGGACCAGACTGTAGACCTGCACCAGGCTGGGATTGGCTACAAGACCATCAGAAAGCAGCTTGGTGAGAAGGAGACAACTGTTGGTGCGATTATTCGGAAATGGAAGAAAAAGACAATGAGCATCAGTCGGCCGGTCTGGGGCTCCACACAAGATCTGGCCCCGTGGGGTATGATGATCATGAGAAAGGTGAGGGATCAGCCAAGAACTAGACAGGAGGAACTTGTTAATGATCTCAAGGCAGCTGGGAGCACAGTCACCAAGAAAACTATTGGTATCACACTACACCATGATGGATAAAATCCTGCAACACCTGAAGGCCCCCTGCTCAAGAAGGACATGAGAGGCCGTCTGAAATTTGCTAATGAACATCTGAGTGATTCAGAGAAGGCTTGGGAGAAGATGATGTGGTCAGATGAGACCAAAATCGAGATCTTTGGCATCAACTCGACACGCCGTGTTTGGAGGAAGAGAGATGCTGACTATAACCCCAGAACACCATCCCCACCGTCAGCATGGAGGTGGAAACATTATGCTTTGGGGTGTTTCTCTGCTAAGGGGACAGGAGGACTTCCCTGCATCGAGGAGAGGATGTACGGGACCATACCGTGAAATCTTGGCCGATAACATCCTTCCCTCAGTCACTGAAAATGGGTCATGGAAGGGTCTTCCGGCAGGACAATACACCTGAACAAACGGCCAAGGCAACATAGGAGTGGCTAAAGAAGAAGCACAATCAGGTGATGGAGGGGCCTAGCCAGTCTCCGGAACTTAATCCCATAGAAAATCTGTGGAGGGAGCTGAAGCTTCCAGAGGCCAAGCATCAGCCTCAACACCTGAAGGATCTGGAGAGGATCTTCAGAGAGGAGTGGACCAACATCCCTCCTGAGATGTTCACAAACCTGGAGACCAACAAGAAGCGTCTGACCTCTGTGTGTCCAACAAGGGTTTCTCCACCGAGTACTAAGTGCATTCAAATTTGTACCCGAGTAAAAAAATATATATATACGTATTTGTATCAAAATATACTTTAAGTACCAAAAGAAAAATGATTTTTGTACGCAGAAAGGCACAGTTAGCCCCAATACTTGTAATTATTGGTTCATTAATGTGTTCATCACTTCAATGATGTACGTGGTGAGGGTGGGGTTTAATTGAATGACTGTATACATTGCTGGGTAGTCTTTTTATATTTTTTATAAACCTCAATCTGCAAATTAACTAAATATGTCAAAAAAAGTCAAGTGGAGTAAAAAGTACAACATTTGACAATAAAATGTTGTGGAGTAAAAGTATAAAGTAGCATAATTTAAAGTACCTAATTTTCTACTGAAGTACTGTATTTGAGTAACTGTACTTAGTTACATTACACCACTGGTTTTGAGTATATTGTTGCTGAGTCCGTCTCACTGTCTCGTTATGTTGCCCAGCGACTGAATACCTGAGGCGGAGGACCTGGACAGTGAAGCGGGCATCTGGGGGGGTCCCGGGGCCCGGCAGGAAGCTGAGAGTGTGCTCCATGTTGAGGGAGGAGATGGAGACTTTGGAAGGAGCGGGGAGGGACACACACACCACTACAGGAGGACAGGAAATCAACCCGGATTTAAAGGGACAGTGACACTTTGAACCAAACAGGGCTGAATCTACATTCTGCACACACAACACAAAGATTTCCTGTTCAAAGATAGCATCTGAATCTGAACACATATGCAGAGGTGGGAGGATCTTGAACTTGAGTAAACATAGAAAAGTAAATCAGCATCAAAATATACTTAAAGTACCAAAAGTAAAAGTACTCATTATGCAGAATAATATATATGATATGTTTTCTAATGATTGATCATTAAAGTGTTCTCAAAGCTGGTAAAGGTGCAGCTAGTTTGAATGACTTTGTATATTGCAGGGTAGCTTGTGAATTTACTCCAGGTGGAACTAAAGTCTGATTTAAAACTTGATTAGATTTCACATCATTCATCCACATCTGTAAAGTAACTAAAGGTATTAAATACAAAATATAAAATATAAATGTAGTGGAGCAAAAGTACACCTTTTACCTCTGAATTGGAGTGGGGTAGAAGAACAAAGTAGCAAAACATTGAAATACTCAAGTACAATAATCTCAAAAATGTACTTGAGTAAATGTACTTAGTTACTTCACACCACTACAAATATGTTTAACAGAATGTCATGCGTTCATTGATCCTGCCATCATACATACACACATAGGTCAGTCCAAAGGTGTAAAAACAAAGACAGGCAACAGGCAACAGGCAACACACACACACACACACACACACACACACACACACACACACACACACACACACACACACACACACCTGATTTATAACCCCATATATTCCTCCCCACCTTTCATCCAGGGAGCATTACCAAGGTGTAGCAGCAGAATCAGAAGCATCATCCACAGCTTCATCGTGCTCCATGGACGTCGTATGGCTCGCAGGTAAAGGCAGATAAGGCTGGTTAGGGTTAGAGAGCACAACATATAGAGGGATGGGAGGGAGGGGGGTATGCGTGGGGGTTGGGAAACATACACGGTGTTATCATGAGAACAGTTGAGTTTCTATTTCCCCAGAAGTCCCTCCCTGTGTGTTCTCTTCTAATCATGCAGTGAGTGTGAGCGCTCTGTCTCACCGGAGTCAGAACCTGCTGTCTGATCTGGAGTTACTTTGAACTTTCTTTTGTCCGCTTTTTGATCTTTCTCCTGAAGAAATGACCCTTTTACTGGGAGAATACAAACAAGAGAACTCGGCATGCTATTGAAACTGTGACTTTATTTATGTGAAATGTACAGGTTTGAGCATTAATACATTTTTTTTGAATAGGGCAAGATTTCACAGTGAGTATAAAAATACAAGAATGTAACATGGAATTTGTTCGATTATTTGTGTTTAAATACAATAACTTTCATGTAATACCTAAACACAATGTGTAACTTAAAACAAGCGCAATGTTAATATGACTGTATTTGTACAGAAAAAGGAAATATGGCAAAATAAAAACAAGATTTTACAGTTGTTAGTGTGTCACATTCATTCACTAATATCACCGGTCATAACTAAACATGATTATCAGCTGCCCGGCTCAGAGTTCATACATGTAACAGGCACGTGATGAAACATATTCCTGCTCAAATCACAGGATTGAAAAGGATGTCAATACGTGATCATTTCTCCTGTCCTCTCACTGAGAACCAGTTTGACTAACTGGAGTTTCACAGATGCTGAAAATTCCATTGTGTGCAAAACAGCTGTTTTCATTATTCACCTGACAATTTTTTCCAAATTGTTTTAAATTGATTGATCCATTTGTTTTCATTTAGATAAAGCGGCATTAAAGAGGCCCCGTTATGCTCTTTTCAGATTCTTATTTGTGACATGTATGTATTTCATGCTTTAATGTTCAAAAAGCTCTTTCTCTTTCTCATACTGCCTGTGCTGCAGCACCTCTTTTCACCGCAATTGTAGCCTTTGCAGACCATTAACGTGCACAAACACACCACACACTAATAACACACTACAGGAAAGGGAAAACCCTAAAAAGCAGAATAGGGCCCCTTTAATAGTGTCATCTTTAGTCTCATTGTCGCTACAGGTTGAGAGTTAAGAGCTGAAGAGAATGCATACATAACAAACAAAAACCCAAAGATATACAGTAACCATCATGTGGACCTTTTTTTGCTAAATACTATCTAGCCGTTTTTACAAGTTGTTCTCAGTGCGAGTTAAATTCAGACGTTCTCATCATCAATCACTGATCTTGAGTACAATACAATGGATGAAATGTTTTGAAAAACCGTCTCTCTCTCATTTGTTATTTAGCTCACAGAGAGGATGAGCTCAACATGTACAAAATAACCTCCATTTAAAAGAATTCCTCATTCTTTGATTGAAAGGCATTGACGTCGAAAGATTCTTACTTAAGTTGTGACATGGCGACTTTTTTTGGCACCCTGCAGAAAGGAAGCACTTTCAAACAGAAGCAACCAGCGATGCTCAGCACATTGCTACTGATGCTTGGATCTTGCATTAAATACACAACCAAATGTTCTACGGGAGAAATCCCTTCATGCCCTGGAAGGAAACAGCTAATGTGAACTCATGATACATGATCCAACATTTGCGGCATCAATATATCTGTAACGTGACAGCACTAAAATAACAGACGGACAAATATCAACTTGTGACGGTGAGCAGTGCCTCCTCTGCCTTTCAGCTGCAGAGTAGGCACTGCAGTTTACACAAAGCTTTATCAAGAGACGCGCCTCATGCACAAACATTGCTGTTGTTATTGATTTTTTTGTGGTTGCTTGAAGCCATCTGACCGATTCAAACAATGAATTAAAAAAAGGGAAAACCCAGAGGAGGGGATGAAAGCTGCTCTCAGCCTCAGAGTCTGCTGCTGCCTGACCTGCAGTTACACCGCTGCTAACACATTATGAAATTATACAAATAAATGAAACCCAGTTACTTCCTGTTGGGAAACCCCAGGCCCATCAACGCCGCGTATACCCAGACTGCTCATCCTCCTCCTCCTCCTCTTCCTCCTCATCTTCATCACCAGGGCAGGAAACAGTTTCTATGGCAACTTCCCTGTTGTCCGCAGCTTGTGCCTCCACCTCTGGCTCCACTTCTACCGTGTCAAAATGTGATTTCTCTTCCTCCCCCTCCCCGTGGCTGCCGAAAGTCAATGTGAGGAGGTTCACTTCCTGGCTGCCCCCCCCTCCCTCCACCTTCGTCCCTATGGTGGAGCAGTGTGTGTCTGTGGGGCTGGGGGGGGCAGGTTGTATTGCAGCACTGGTACATGTCTCTGCTGGAAGGGAGGGGTTATAGCAGACTGTTAGCCCTGGCAGGGGCTGTGGGGATAAAGGAGCAGACCCAGAGGATGAAGAGGAGGAAGAGAGGGGGTTAGAGCCTCCTCTCACTTGATACCACCCTCCTCCTCTGCCCCCCCGCAGCGTCTCCATCACACTCTCCTCCTCACCGCTCTCGTCAGAGCTGTGGCAGCTGCTCTTTTCGCCTGAAGGGGGCACTGCTGGTTCAAGATTCAAGAGAGAAGACAAGGACGAGTTGCAGGAGGGGACGACTGTCCTTTCTTCTATGTGATGGATGGACCTCTGAGACACAGAGAGAGAAGGAAAGGAACATGTTAAAACCAACAGGTTGGTTCAACAGCAACTGAACTCTTAAAACAGCTAACAGGAAGTACATTTTCCACTAGTGAGCAGGAAATGATGCTTTTTGTTTCAGCATCCACATTGCAATGTGTGCATGAGCAATAGTCACATAGCAGCACGTGCAAATGACCTCTTCATAGTACCACTTCTCTGCTTCTTGATGCAGAAGGAATACATTTTGCAATCTATGAGAAGTCTGTGTGGTGGAACATCATTGACTGATTTAAAACTTCTGCACACAGTTTGTTGCTGGTGAGACATGCATTCTAAGAAAACAACTTATTATTTGTATTCATTTATTTAGCAAACATACACAAAGAGAAACACTGAAAAATAACAATTGGTTGCAAAATGAAGCATCAGTTGAAAGGATATTTTTTGTCTCTTTATAATAGTATTATATTGAACATTGGATCCAATATGTTACACCTAGCTCTATGTTTCCATAGTCACATATTTGAATGAACCACTTATTGACCATGTCCTACACCGGTTCCCAGAGCCTAATGATGTGTTCGGGGCTGGGTTAGGATTAGCATGAGTCCATATCCTGACCTGAGACTTTCTTTCGTTCAGTCTTTATTTCGATTAAACAGATTAAAAAATAACAAATAAAAAATAACAAATGTGAAAAACAGAATACCTTATTGTTAAATACAGTATTTATCCACATTCATGGTAATATTTGTATATTCCACAAAAAAACAAAAAAAAAAGTCTTCTTATTAATAATAATAATAAATCATGTGTCCGAAAGGGAGTAGGAGGAAGCAAATGCTTATTAATTTCCACCCCTTACTTGATCAATGATTGTCCTTTAAATCATTATGCAAGTTATTCCTACATACATTTACACATACATATACAATAATTTCTCATCTTCAATCACCTTTCTTCATTCTCATATTTTTCCAAAAAGTGTTTCTGTACATCCTTTTAAACTGAATTATGCTTGTGCTTTGTTCTAACTCCTGTTCCAAACTTCATATCATCTTACATTTTGATCAAGTCATATCACAAGTATGTTCCTGCTATTAAAGGTGGGAAAAGTGTAGATTGTCAATGCAATTTGGATTAGATTTACTTTCCAGTCAATAATAATAAGTGTATTACACAGATTAGTTGAATACTCAAAGCTGATTGGTGAATGTAAAACATTCAAGAGGTCTGTTATTTTTATCTAGCAGACCATTGCTAAAGAAGACTCTCTGATCAAGGATGTGCAGTCATATCCACATAAAGGAGTCTGGTCTGTTTAACGTCAGCTGTGGAAAACAAACATTAGTTTCCTCCATCAGAAAACATCATGGAATTCTTTTGGAATATTCATTATTATATTTGTGAAGAGCACCAAACTGTGGATTGACGATGGCTAGACTGTCCCCAGAAAACAAAAGAGAAAGAGCACAAGAAAAGGAAAGAGGGTAAGAGACACAGGATGTCAGAAGAAGAAGACAGACAGGAAGTAAACACTAAAGTGAACAGCAGAAGAAGACAGACAGGAAGTAAACACTAAAGGGAACACAGTATGGGCTAGGGATGGGAATGATTAATCGAATATTCGAAATTATTCAGGTATTG